GCATGGGGCAGTGGGGGGAAGTGGGAATTGCCTCCCTGCTTGGCAGTAGCCAGTGAATTTGGGGCTTAAAAAAAAAAACAAAAACCCGGGATGCTGGGGCTGGGCAGGGCAGCCATTGATGGGGCTGGGAGAGAGGGTGGGGGGTGGGGCCTGTTTGATTCAGAAATTTAGCTGATTCAATGGCAGCCAAATCTCCAAATCAGATTTGGTCGAATTGATTGGGGCCATTGATTTGAAATCACTGAATCGAATCGCTGTCCCCCATATCAGCCGAACCTGAATCTGAAGCAAATACTAGCCGCTTTGCACAGGCCTACTAGAAGTTTCACATAAACCAGCTTAAGCGATCAGAAACTGGTTTAAACCTGTAACAGAAGAGAAGCACATAAACTAGTTTCCAAATGGCTGAAATTAGTTTAAGATAAGACTGGTTGAATGTAGTATCAGTATTAAGTTGGGTCAAACCAGTTTATGGAACTTCTGTCCCAGACCCCTTCCTGATTTAAGTTGAATCACAGTCCCCCAGTATCCCAGATGCTTTGCAACCCTGAGTGGGGCTGTGCTTTCTGCTCCGGAGAGCAGGGCTGGCCCCTCCCCTCTGCTCCCTAGCCTGATCAGGTAAGTCCCCTCCCTGCTCCATTTATTCCCTCTCCTTCCCTACTAGGGTACCGAGGCCCCTGTCACCCATTTCCCCCTCCCCAATCCAGTGGCAGGGCAGGGAGCATGGCCAGAGCTGGCTGGCATGGCCCCTGCCATCCACCTGCCTCACCAGTGGCTGGGGCTGCAGAACTGAGCCCAACCAGCCGGCAAGTGCTGCTGAGGGTGGAAGCAGAAGGGCCATCACAGGCTGGGGTGCAGGGTCTGGGTCCTTCCCAGCAAGCTGCAGCTGGGGCCGGGGCCATGGGGGCTGCACAGTTCCCTATGCCCAAGCTCAGCAGGGATGTCATGGAGCCGCAACCAGCTGGATAGGGTCCCACAGAGCAGTCCGTGGGGTCAGGGCCCTTCCCAGCTCTCTGAGGCTGTGACAGCCTGGCTCAGCAGCACAGCACCTTCCTGGGCCAGCTTGGTGGCACTGGTGAGCCCCAAGCCTGGCAGGCACCACTGTCGTGCCCCCTGCCCCATGCAGCACCTGGGGCTGCAGCCCCACAACCAGCTATCCAGGGTACTTGGGAAAGCCCTAGGGGGTTCATGTAGGCAGGTAGGGATGGAGTGCCGCCACCCACCACCTCATGTTACCACCTTCCAGGAGCAGGGCCATCTACCACCCTGTGCTGCCACCGCTCTGCATCCAGCCATGTGCCACCCCTTCCCTCACCCCCGCTGTGCATCTGCCCACTGGGAGTACACTTAATAAAGAAAGTTGAAAACCGCTGGCTTAGCAGATTCTTATTGCTGAGCTTTCAGTGAGGAGAGTTATTTAGTTCAAATTTTGGGTGGGCTGGTCCTTGTGCCCTAATTATCCACCAGTAATAAAACCACAATTTGGTGACAATTAAATAGACTCTCTAGTGCATATTACAGTTGTAACTAGTAGTTCTGTGGCTAATGAAGAAGCAGAAAAGTAGAAAAATGTGTCAATTTATGTGTATGCATCAAAAAAAACTTACATGCTTGAAAAATTAGATTCCATTGCAAATTCCTTATATTTGACTGAAACCTACAGTCAATTCACAACTGTATGGTCAGTGTGTAAATAAAGTTACAGTCTGAAATTTAAAGCTTTTCTGTCACTATGAAAAATTGACTTTCTTACCTGTAACAGTTGTTGTCAAACTTATTGTAACTGGCAAATGCAATTAAAACTCCAAACCCAGCTCCTAAAGAATAAAATATTTGGGTGGCTGCATCGATCCATACCTGCACAGAGAGACCAACATCATTAGATATGTTAGCTCGGTCAAAGAGATAATATGAGCGATGTGAAGAATTGTACAGTAACAACTAGCTTTGGAGATCTATGATCACAATTCATTAGTGATTATGACCATAGAACCCTGTATGTTCCCTGGCCTATCGAGAACCAGCTCATAGGCTGTAATCAAGTATTACATGGATTCAACTCCAAAACAACAGATGAAAAACTAAATGTGTGCATTGTATCGCTACTGGTTGGATTTCTTATTGAATTTACATAGAGTGATGTCATGATTAAATGATTTTTCTCCAGCCTTAAGGCAATAAGCTTCCTTCTAGTTCAGGGTCAATTTGGAATGCACTGTCAGAGAAATAAAAATAATTAACAGGTCAGGATTTACAGACTTTCCTTTCCCCATAAAACAGCTTGTGACTGTAATTATATGATGCTTGCTTCCTTCAGAAGCTGAAGCTTGATTCACACGCTATGAAAAGGATCATCTAAGGAAACTTCATTTTCATTATTCATTCATTTGGAGAAGCAGAAATTATTCTTCTGATAGTCATTAAATTCTACTTTGGCTGGAATTAAATTGCTTTACAATTGCCTAATCTCAGTAAAATGGTTCCTAACACTTTTTAAGAATATTGCATTTTCTAGTTCTCCCCACCTCTTCTTTTCCTCCTTCTGTATACAGACAGTGGCTGAAGATGATGATGGGGGTGCTAAGCTGCTGCAGCTGGAGCCTTGAAATACAGCAAAGGGTGTTTTCCAGTCAGAGCTGAATTTTTTTCATCCAGTGCCATAAATAAGCTCAAGTATACTTGCCCATCAGGGTTTGCTGAAAGGTCATGGGACTCCACAAGCCTGGCTGGAGCCATGGGTTTCACCTGCTTTGGGTTTTCAATTAAGAACTTTCACACAGAACTATCTTTGGCTTATTCCAAATACAGAGAATTTGTCTCTGTGCTACTGCCATGTGCAAGGGAACCAAAGAGCCAAACGTGTGTGTTGTATATCTAAAAGCCATTTCCCAGACCACTGATGCCTGTCAGATTTGCATGGATTTCAGTTGCATTTGGATCAGGCCCACTGAGCAGAAAACAGTTTAACTGGATCTTTAAAAATCCTTCACAATGATGTATTAGTTGAAAAAATATGGTATAGAAATCCTAGCATTTGCTTATGTTATTGTATAAGCAAACATGCTGGGCATCTATGACATTCCAAAATTACAGCTCATGGGAAAAATATAGTTATTTAGGAGCACTAGAAAATTAGGGACCCAGCTATCGCCAATAATTTTTTAACTTTTCCAGGATGCCTTGATATCAGCTACTATTGCTAATTATAGTCCCCAACCACCCACTCACTGGAAAAATTGCAGACTATGCAAGTACAAGGAACTGTACACCAGAAAGTGCTTACATTGCTTTTTGATAGGTCACTGACAAAGTTGTTAAAGAGACCCCTGCCACTAGAGTTTAGCTATTACAGGCCTTGTTATACCTTATGCTATAAACTGCACAAATGTTGATCAATGTTAGTGTTAGTTTGGAGAAGTCATCCTTAGTCTAGAAGCTTTCTCTAAGTATCCCCAACTTGCACAGCTATGACTTGCTACTAGGACTAGGTACACACATTACACTTTACTTGTATAAGTGATCACCAGAAACTGACCTATACCCATAACAGAACAGAATTTTGGCACACACAGATTGGTCTAAAAATGGCAGAACCCCCTACCAAAGGGTGAATGTGTGTTCTGTTCACTACCCATCTAAACTGCACTGCTTACAGAAACTGCATAACTTAGATCAATTCCACCTTGGGCTTTTTGAATATATATACCTAGCCTAGAGACCTGGTGAGCAGTGGGACTAGGATTGGTAGCTGTGCCTTGCCACTAGAGGGTTGGTGAGCCAGGACAGGCTTCTAACCCTGCTCTACAGGTCAGGGTGTGAGAGATCCTGGGATACTGTAGGGCTTCAACTTGGGTGGCACATCTGTGGGGAGTGGCCACACAATGGAACTGAAGCTGGGTAGTATGGATCAGAGGAAATCTTGGTGAAACTTTTAGCCACATAATGAGTCCTTAAAATAACTTTAATTTGTTAATGTGCAGACAATCCAGAGGTTAAGAGGCCCGGGAGCCACCCAAAATTACTGTGGAACAAGGTCCTTATACTAGATTGGTGTTTGGGACCTAACTCAAAGGTGTTTAGTGTATGCTTAACACTTGTTTACCTTAATGAGTCCCCCCCCCCCCATCTTGTATAGGAATGGAGTTAAGCATGTGCTTATGGGTTTGCACAACTTGAGCCTGCCTTCTAATTCCTTGTGTTATTCCAGTCAATTGGTATGGAAATCCTGGCGAGGAATAAGCAGCTTAAATTAACATTTTGTGCAAAACACTTCTTGTAATAAACAGGATGCAACACAGAGATGGGATGGGGGGAGCAATTCTTCTGCAATTTATGCTGATGTTTCTCTGTTAATTGCAGTGGAGTATCTTTTGACTTATGGCATTATCTAGTTTATTGGATGGTGTGCTATTGGATTTTTTTTTAATATCTATTCCAAAAAACATTTTAGAGGGGACTGTAGCCAGTCTTTCATGCCAAATTTCCTTCCACCTTATTTTTATTACTGTAAGTTTTGCGCATATACATTTTCTTACATTTGTGAACTGAAAGAATTACTGCACAATGCAGAGAGGAAGCACTGTTTGAATCCCCAGATACGATATAACTTGCAGGAAATTTCTTATGACATGCAAAGGTGTAAATGTCCCCTTCCTGTCCTAGATTTCGTAATAGGACTGATTTCATTCAGCATTCATTGCTATTTTTTTAAATTGTGAAACAGAATTTTAGGACATGTTTTAGATCATCATTTATAAGTGACTTCCTTTGATATTTTTCCCTTTTGTTGCTAGTCTTTATTGGAAGAAAAAGTTCATAAGTCAAGGACTTGCAGGGGCACACTGACATAGCACCAAGGTAAGAGTCAAACCTCCCAGAGATCCAACAAGGATTAAACACACAAACATGTCAAGAGAACCAGCAGAGGGCCCAGTTTCCTCACAAGAGATGATGAAGAATGCCTAACATGACAGGCTACTCAGACAACTTCCCCGTGTAAGCGGTCTTCCATCTTTCACCGTCCTGCAAGAACTTTTTTTCAAATTTCTGAAAAATATAGTCTTATAAACAGATGATTTTATGGCTTGCCAACAAGCAGGTGTAGAAAAATTAACCTCAAAAGAGTAAAGTACAATACAGTATACCATAAAATGCAGAAGCCGTTATGTGTATTGAGGTTCAGCTCCCCAGCTGTTGTAACTCAGCATAGTTCCATAAGCTTTCAGCTGAGGATCTAGCCTGAATAAACATTCTTCAAACATCATTTAAAATGGTGAGGAAAGTGAAATTTCTCATGCATTCCCCCTTGCCTCTGCATTTTTCTACACATGAATGCTTGTATATGTATACACGCTTCTGTATAGTGCGTGGTATACAGAAACATACTGCACTGGTGACTGTAACAGGTCGCCCTCCCCAGTGTCATCTTTTGCATTATCCGCACCCTATGTGGGGCACCCTTGGAGTCCCCTTAAGGTTTCTCATGTCCCACTCTCTACTTGCCTGCCACATCTTGATGGAAATATCATCTTGTAAGCAGGAAACTGCCTATTGCTTTTTGTATGTTGGGGTCCTCCGCCACCACTGGCCTTGACCCCAGTCTTTCTTTAGCTAGGCCTCTCCATCTAAATCCAGCAGATACGGTTGGACTCTGAGGCTCTACCTTTTTAGTCATGGGGCTCGTGGCCCTCCTTTTTGCCCCAATCTGGAGCCCAGCCTCCCTGGCCCAGAGGCCCATCCACGGGCCCCACAACCAGGGGGTCACAAATTCAAAGCCAGTCAACGGCCCCGACTCCGCTATCCCAGTTGCACCCCAGGTGCACCAGGCCACCCTGGCCTTCTAGGATTGACCTCTGGTGCTGGGCCTGTGCTCCTGAATACTGCACCTTCTCTGTTGCTGGGCCTGTGCACCCCAAATACTGCACCCACACTGGTGCCAGAGTCCCTATGCTATAGTGGGGTCCAATGAGGCCTCCTCCTTCCCCAATAGCCCCACCCAAACCACCAGTGTTATTCAATAACAAATATGAACAGTCCTATCCATGGGCTATAACCACCACCAAAAAAATATGGTTAAAGAAGGCAGCATACCAGCTTACATTTACTCAGAGGTTCATGCTTCTGCTCCCCACTGTTGGCTACAATCCTTCTTCTGGGGTTGCTGCCACTTCTCCAGGGTCTTCAGTAGTTACCCTCCTCCAGCCTTTGGACCGCCTCTCTGTGGAGCTCTTATATACACTCCTTCCCCTTTGGCTGCTGGTGCCCTACTGCTGCCCAGCTCAGGGTTTTTATAGTTCTGGCCTGCCCCCTTCCCGTCACCTGACTGGCTGGCCTGGTTCAGCTCTTAACCCCCACTTTACCAGCACTTTACCAGCATGCTGTGCCCAGAAAGTTCTGGTTTTAAAGGGGCCGACCTGCTTTCTGGTAACAGGGCATGTTGTCTGGATCTGGATTTTGATCACTCCGAGGTAGACTAAATTGAGATTTGGGATTTTCGTGATCTGCTACACTACAGTGTCTGTGAGGGAACCTGAATATTGATTATACATCATTCATAATATTAACATGACTAAAAAGTAAATAAACAAATTAAGGAGGAAAGGAATTGTTTGAAAAACCATATACAAAATGGCTCTGGATTTTAATATTTAGGCTGCCTATGGACTTTGTCTATATTCTCAGTTATTCAGGAAAGTGAGTCAAGTAAAGTAAAAATATGATGAGATTAGAAGGCTCCTAGACATAGGAGCTATTTAGAGAATAGGGGCATGTCCCTGGGGAGAAGGAACTGCTATGCCAATTCATTTTCTTTTTATGACATTTATATTTACTTTTCAATGGTATGTCTGTTTGAAAAGCAGTTAAGATTTTTGTATTGGCCCATGTCAAAGGAATGCCTTTGCTTCTGCATGCCAAGGTAGTGCTTAGTATCCTTTTAAATAAAAATAATTAAAAAAACCAAGTCTAGAGTTGAAAACTGTGGTCATTAGATCCCTGGGCTCTGTGAATTTTGAAACACTAGGGTTAGGGACAGGAGTTACACATAAACCAGTTTAAGTGATCAGAAACTGGTGTAAAACTGTAACAGAGCATAAGTTCAGTGCACATAAACCAGTTTCAAAATGGCTGAAACTGGTTTAAGATAAACCTGGCTGAATGTAGTATCAGACTCAACTGATTTGGGTCAAACTGGTTTATGGAACTTCTGTCCCTGGTTTAAGTTAAATCACAGTCCTCCAGCATCCCAGCATGCTTTGCAGCCCTGGGTGTGGCTATGCTCTCTGCTCCAGAGAGCAGGGCTGCCCCCACCCCTCAGCTCTCTAGCCTGAGCAGGGGCAGGTGCATGGGCAGATGCATAGCCCCCTGAGACAAAGGGTTATTCCCCCCCCTCCTACCGTGTGACTGTGACCTCTGTCAACCATTCCCCCCTTCCCAATCCAGCAGCAGGGCAGGGCAGGGAGCATGACCAGAGTCAGCTGGCATGGCCCCTGCCATCCACCTGCCTCACTAGCTGCAGGACTGAGCCCTGCCAGTCTGTGAGTGCTGCTGAGGGTGGAGGCAGATGGGCTAGCCCAGGCTGGGCTGCCAGGGCCTGACCTTTCCCAGCAGACTGCAGCTTAGGCTGGGGCCACAAGGGCTGCATGGCTCCCTGTGTCCAAGCCAGGCATGGCTGTCATGGAGCACAACTGGCTGGGAAGGACCCTGTGGGGCCAGCCTGTGTGGGCAAGGCCCTTCCCAGCCCACTGCTGGTTGTGTGACAGCCTGGACTGGCAGCATGGATGGGGGCTAGCTGGGGAGTGGGTTTTCCAGGCCAGATCAGAGGTGCCAGTCAGCCCTGATCCCAGCAGCCACCACCATGCCCCCTGTCCTGTGCAGCAGCCAGACCTGCAGGTGCACAGCCAGTTGCAGGCTGGCAGGGGCTATTCTGCCCCTCTTGCCTCCAGCTGCCACAGCTATGCCATACCACTTTAGGTGGCGGTGAGGGGGACAGGAAGATTCAGCCTTGTGGCTCCTGCCCAGTGAGTGGAGCTTGGGCTTCAGTCCCCAGATGCCTTGGAAGGTGGAAGGCATTTGGGTGAAAGGCGTCCAGGGGCTACAGACAGAGCTCCGTGTGCTGGGCAGAAGCTGTTGGTTCTGGCAGGGCTGTTTTTCTCCCCTCACCTCCAGCTCTGGCTCCCGCTCTTGTTGCAGAGTGCAGTACCACTTGAGATGGGGGAGCTTCCTTTAGCCTGGCATCTTCAACCTGGGTTGGGCTGAAGGAAGCTCCCCCAGTCCCAAGTGGCTTCCTGGCCGGGGTCCTTACATGCCAGAGCGGGGGTTTAAACCCCACAAATCATACTGGCCATGCCCCCCAGGTCAGCTTCCCATCAGCCTTATGGCTGCTGCAAATGGAAGGGAGGGCTGCTCTAGTGCCCCCAGCTTCTAGCCTGAGCCACTACAGGCATGTGCCTGCATTTCCAGAATTAAACATGAATGTCTGTGCACTTGCAAATCAGTTCAAACTTTGCAGTTCAATTCAGGCTCTGGCTTTTTGAATGTCTATCCCAGGTCTAGGGGTTTTATAATGGGTTTAAATGAGTTGGTCTGCAGATCTTTCTTAACACTGCATTGTGATGGAAAAACTTAATTCTAATGTATGGTAGATTAAATGTTTTCAAGCAGCAAAATCTTTGGGCAGTTGTAGACAACAGGGGGGTTTAAATTGAAGCAGTGTTTTTTTAAACCCCTGTGTTGTGTACATCCATGTCCTTACCTGTCTCTCTGGCCACAGGGAGGAGAGAGCAAGCTGCCAGTGGGCCAAGCAGTCCCTGAGCTGCGGGGGAGGGGACTGGTGCTTCCCTCCATGGCAGCGGTGACCCCCCACCCTTAGCAGCACCCACCCACAGGTACCCGGGTCAGGCGGTCCCATGAAGCACTGCAACTATGGAGGGAAGCACCAGGCTCCTGCGCAGCTCAGGCAAGCTGGCAGACTCCAGGGAAGAAAAAAATTAGATCAGACTTACTACTTTTTTTTTTTCTTCACTGCAGCCTGCCTTCCTGGGCTGCTGCTGGGCTGCCTGCTGGGGCTGTCTGCACAGCTCCTGAGCTGCACAGAGCCCGGTGATTCCTTCTGTGGCTGTAAGGTAGCAAACTAAAACTTGTCAGAGGTATTTTAGTTTGCTGCACCCCAAAGTCATTTGCTGTACCACAAAGTCATTTAAGGTGCATTACACTGCTGAATTTGCTACAGTGGCTGGAATTAATGCGCAATATGCCGCTGAATTTGCCCACTTGTGCAAACAGCAACACCATTAAAGCAGTGCAAAAGGGCATTTAACCCACTTTAATGAATTGTCTACAAATGCCCTTTAATTATTGTTTTGGCCTCGAATCAAGCCATGTTTGGCTATATTTGGTATGACTGGCTTACATAGCTTTTGAATTGTATTGAAAAGTCTCAGTTGTTACAAAGTGCTGTAAGATGATTTGCACTGAGTTAGTCCTAACTTATTAAAGCTATTCCTTATTACTATGGGGCAAATCTCAGTTCAGATACTTACCCAAAAGCTTAAATGTCTACTCAAACCAGAAATACTTCTAAACTGATTTCTTTCCATGAAAATTTTCATTTCCAATGAAAAGCCATTTTCATAGAAATGCATTTGTTCCAGTGACAAATGTCAGCAGTTGTGATTTTTATTACTAGTGCTTGGCTTAAATTATGCATTTTTTTTAAATCATGAAATTAAGTGATTTTCACAAAAATGCAATCTGCAACTTTTGTTCCCCATGAACTAGCCATATCCCAGCATTTTACTGCAACAAGATGGCTGCTGCACGCTGGAGAAAGCATTCCCCAGCCAACAGCAAAAGCCTAGCAGCCTGGGGGAAGGGATTTCAAAGAGGATGGAGAGAGCTTGGGCATGGGTAGGGGATGGGGCTGTTTGCTCCTCCAGGTGTGAAAACTGGGGGTGGTGGGTAGGATGGTGCCTGGGGCCATCAGCCAAGGCTGCCCCTGGTACCAGATAGGGGAGGAGCTGTTTACTCCTCCAGGCCAGAAAACTAGGGCACTGGGACTTTGGGGGTGGGGAGAGGGAACACATGTGGAGGAGCAAACACCCCCAATCGGGGGCATGTGGGGGAGCCACGGTCTGGGTGGAAAAAATGGTGGTCCCCACCATAATTGAGCTATGATATTAGCAAGCTGGGCCTTTGATTTAAACCAGGCCCAATTTATTATATTATAGCATCTGTTCAGCCTAGCGGTGCAAAAAGCAGCTCTTGCTATCTGAGTATTTCCCCAGCTTCAGGGAGCTTTCAGCTTGTTCAGCCAGTGCAGCTACCTTTTGCACATACTCAAACAAGAAGGAAGTCATGATAGATAAAGGCACAGTTAGAACATGTATCTTGTTTAAGGGATTACTTGATGCTAGATTACATTGGAACAGCCCCAGGGTTACCTAAACTATTATAGTAATCACAGTGGTACAGATCCATTCTGATAACGGCTTCCTGGTGCTCCCTTCAGTGGTAGAGAGCCAGCAATTCAGGGCATTGGAGAAAGCTGTCTAATGTTCTTGTAGAGACAAATATATAAATATTTAACTTTAGAAACAAATACTAACCATCTAGTAGCATCTTCCATCATTAATTTGGAAACTGTCAGGGGTGGTGGTTATTATTTTGACATAGGAAGTGAAAATGATGGATAAAACTTACTGTAGCTTCTTTTAATCTTCTGAAATCTATATGTAGGTATGCATTTATCCCATTGTATGCACCAGGCAATGTTATTCCATGTACTAACAATACAAATAGTACAACATAAGGCAAAGTGGCTGTTATCCACACAACCTGGAGGTAACAAACAGACACAGAAGTTAATTAAGCACCAGGAAATTTTATAAATGTGTTACAGAATATTGCTCTCCCTATAGTTGCTTATTTCTCATGTGTATATAGGACCTCTTTACTATTTATCATATGGTAGGGGTGTCAAATTCATCTTGTGCTCTGGGCCCACGAGCTCCTTGTGTGCTGGATCCAGCCCTTGACCCAGGGTTGTTCCAGCCCGGGCCATGCAATAGGGGCGACAGCTCTGGCTCAGACATAGGGCATGTGATGCAGCTCCAGCTTTCACCATGTGCCCATGACAAAGCTGGCACTGCAGCTGCTGTATGCCCCATGTTACAGTTGCAGCTCCACCTCCAGCATGGGACATGAGGAGTTAGGGCCACAGCAGTGACAAAGGGTGAGGTGACCAGAAGGCAACTGGGGCCATATCAGACTAATTACTATGTCTACTAGGGCCCAAGGGCCCCAAATTCTGAGGCATGCCACTCCTCTGGGCCACCCCCCACCCAACTTCTGGGCAACTGGTAGCCTGTCAGGCTAGATAGAGCAGCTCCATGGACTAGATATGGCCTGAGGGCTGTATGCTTGACACCCCTGTCATAGGGTACATTGTTTTTATGAAAAACACAGCTCAGTCACACTGACAATAGTCTCATATGACATTATATGAGCATGCAAGGGTGGGACTGGTTTGGCAAAGAGAAGACATGTTGAAGTGGCTATTCTAATGTGTGTATCAAACTCCTAAGCATGCTCAGTGTGAATTATTTCCATAAGTATGAACTATTTCCATAAGTATGAGGAGACACTAAATTATGTTTGACATAAAAATGAGAAAGGGTATATAGCAAGAGATCTTAGTTGTTTACCAAACTGAGAATTTTTGGAGGGAAATAACTGCATTTGTGACTCCAACTCCTAATGTGTCTGTCATCATCCATTTCTACAAATGAATGCGGTACAAACTCAATGTGCAAATAAGGAAAAGCTGGGAGTTAATCAAAATATACAGTGCAACTGGTGTCTTAATTCTATAATTGTAACAAAAAAGACAAATATAAACCAGCAATGCATTAATTCATAGTGGTTTAAATTAAATCAGAAAGTATGAAATTTATGGGTTGCTGAAAAGTTTGAGGTGGCAGCTAACACTTCAGAAACAAAAATAATCTGAAATTCAAAGGTTAGTAACACCTTTTCAGATAGTAGGTAATCTCAAACTATTCTAATGGTGTGACAAGTAAGGATTCAGGTTTTTTTAATGATTCTTGGCTCCTAAGGTATTTCAGGTAATTGCTAAAATCTTTGGCAGTGATAAGGTGTTTACAATTTTAATGAATGATTATTAACTAAAACCAAAGTTCCATAAGCACTAAAATAAAATGTTTATCAAGATTTGTAAAGAGCAAGAGATGCTCCTACATAGGCATTCAAAACCACATAAGTTCAAAGGAAAAGATTCCCATTTACTTCAACAGTTTTTGGGTCAGACCACTACTATTTCATTTTCTAAAAGAGACAAAGATGATGACTGATGTGCAGGGAAAATATTAGCTCTACCTTTCCTGATGTCTTTACACCTTTCCACAGACTGAAGAAAAGAATTATTACCACCACCAACAGGCATAATGCTAGCTGCCATCGAGGTGAGCCAAGGTCATGGATGCCATTGCTTTCATGCAGATGTAGAACTCCTCGTCTAGACCGAAAGGGAAGAGGTAAAGAAGTTAGGTCACTGAAAAAATGTTCTGCCTTATTCACTGTGCTATAGGTAGGGACCTATTTAATTAATGATTTTGAGGAAATTGTGAGATCCAGGATTGTCTGAGAAATCCATGAAATCAAGAACAACAACAAAAAATTAATAAAATGCTGGTTCCTCAGCAGAGCCAGCAGTTCTTGCTGCCAGCTGTGGGGTGGCACAAAGGGCAGCAGACAAATGGTGGCTGCCCCTTTGTCCTTCCCCCCCGCCCCCGGGGCCACTCTGCCAATCGGGTCTGAGCGTTGGGGCTACTGTGAAATGATTGTGGAATTAGAACTTTACACTGTGATCAACTCGCAAAAATTGGTAAGTCCCCTTGCAATTTAGGTAGACTCCCTAGCTATAGGTAGATTTAGTAGAAAGGAAAATTGCACTGGGAAATCAGTAGCTTATCTGATTACGTTTTTACTTCTCTTGGAAGTTGGTTCCAGATCCTAGCCGCCCTGACTAACTTCCAGGAGAAGTGGTGCTGGCTCCTACCCTGGGGGTCTTTAAGAGGAGGTTGGATGAACACCTCGCCAGGGTTGTTTGACCCCAGTACTCTTTCCTGCCATGGCAGGGGCTTGGACTTGATGATCTGCTCAGGTCCTTTCCGACCCTACCAAGTATGAAACTATGGAACTATGAAACTCTCTCTCTCTCTCTCTTTAAAATGGCAGTTTTACATACCCTTATTCCAGGGCTTATTCAATTCAAAATAGGTTTACTAAATTAACTAGAAAATGGTGTCTAACAGGGAAATTTCTGATAGTTAGCATAGTGACTAAACTCTAAAAACACCATCCCTAGTTCACTGCCCATCACTATATGGTATATACTGCCTCAGTGGTGATCCCAGGACTGCTGCCAACAAATGCACTTCATCCCCTTGGTTCCTGTGGTACATGGAATGCTGAAAAAAATATTCTGGTCATGTTTAGAGCAGTTTAGAGAGAACCCCTCTCAAATGAAAAATGTCTTTCAATTAATTATTTAAGATACAGAAAAGCTCTAGGAAAAACAGTCCATTAATATAGAACTCTGATGTTATTAAAGAGTTTTAGTCAATGCCAAGTCAAAGCTTCAGTTCCTCACAGTATCGGGAAATGGTTGGTTAAATAATATATCTGTTTTGCTTTACTAGCTCATCACATCTAAAAGAAAGGAAGTGTATAATCTTTTTAGAATGGTTCTTTAATTTCAGTCTTATTTGGATGAAAAATGCTTTTAAAGGCATCATGTCAAATTAAGTAGTTGATCTGTTTTTCTTTAATTGTAGGGCTAGCAATGCATAAGCAAGGGAAGCATGCAGATCAATGTGTATGGGGCACACAGTCAGAGATCTTCCATTGTTAGAAATGATGGTGTGAACTTTGTTTTATTTTTTCAAGAACACCTAATAGCTAAAACCTGCAAAAACACAATGAAGATATACACAAGGTATATCTACATTGTAATCCAGGAAAATGTGATTGTAGCTTGCATAGACGTAAAGGAGCTAATTTTAATCTCATTAGTTAGTAATGTTGGCATTGAATCTGTGCCAATATGCTTAACGGGGACTAGTCTGACAGCCCACATTGTTCCTCAGGCTACTCTAGCTACATTTATCTGTATTCAAGCTTGATGGTTTAAAGCTAACTTGGGTAGCTCTACACATGCTGAAATCACAGTTTTCAGCTGCAGTTTGGACCAACCCTCAGAAAAGTTAAACATGATCCTACTTCCATTACTCTTCTTGAACTGTCAATTTCTGCAAGCATTCTGAATAATTAAATGTGTGTGCTTCCTTGGTGTTTACTTTCCATGAATAATCTAGCAATTTAGCTTACTGATAGGACCATTTAGCCAGTAGAGCAATTTTGTATCTGGGCCTCCAAGCATTTTCACTGGAAGCTTGTAGAAGCTTGATTCTAAGAAGTTTGTTTCTTTCATTGGGGAAAAAATTATCATAAAATGGGAAATAGAAACATAAATTTGTGTTGAATAAAATCAGCTGTCTTCCTGAATAGCAAGGTGTTAACATGTGTAGAAAATTCCTGTTCCATATATAGAACTTTTACCATCTCTGATATCATAACATTTTTTAACCTCTGCAATTATATGATTATTCAGTACATGGTAACTTTCTGTAGCATGCCCTTGGCTGGGAAGTGCTGAGTGGTTCATGAATGCAGTATAGCTGCATCACTTAGTACAAGATCTAGTATTTAGCTTGTGCGTTGGGATTAGACTTGCTGACAACAGGAGGGAGGAAAGCAGCGGGACCTAACCAAGTGTCTGCTGTGATAAGTTTGCCTGGCATGTTTCCAAATCTAATTTTTCAGGCCCCATCCAGATGACCATGATGTTTGTTTCCCTGGGGACACATAGCAGTGGTACACCTTGTGCTGCTGCTACTTGTTCCTGGGTAATGCCCATGCCAAGTGCACTCTGGTACATGGCAGATTACCTCGGGTGGGACTGGGGAGGAAAGGGCCAGCAACTGTGCCGGCCCCAGTAGCCTTACCTGGGGTTCTGGGGACTGTGGAGAGCTGCAGCCATGATGCTCCTGCAGCGCGGCTTCAGCTGGCCAGCCTCTAGTTTGGGGCAGCGTACACTGCCGCTACATGTGCTGCTCCCCTTTTTTTTGATGTGGGGTTGTTTTTTTTACCCTAGAATTTCCTAGGGTCAACCCCTCCCCCCAACACTGCAAGGTAGCAGTATGGCACCACACATGGGTCTACAGTGCAACATACCGCATGTCCATGGTTGTCTGGATACAGCCTTAGGGTTCTTTAAAAGGTTAGGTACAAGCTTAGATACCTTTTGATGATGTACAAGCTTTGTAGGAAACCAGTGTGTCATTTATTAACGTTTGACTACTATGAAACTAGATACAACAGAAAACCCAACTAGTGGTCCAGTTCTGTCCCCATTCTTTCCATTGTATAGTGCTTTATGTTACTAGTTATTCAACTGATTTTGAGTTAAAGCAGCATATAGAGTTTGTAAAGCATGTGGAGGCCAGCTGAACTGAGGGAATCAGGTGTCATTTAGTGTATACAACCATTTCCTTGCACCAGATAGAGAGGTGAGAGATACAATTTATGATCTTCTTCAGATTTCTCACCCCATGCTCATAAAAAAACTAGGAGACTGCAGCATTGATACCCACACAGTCAGATGGGTGGCAAATTGGCTTGAGGCTCGCACCCAGAAAGTAGTGGTGGATGGATCATTTTCAAGCTGGAGGGATGTGGGCAGTGGAGTTCCCCAGGGCTCGGTCCTTGGGCCTGTGCTATTCAACATCTTTATCAGCAACTTGGAGGTGGGCGTGGAAAGCACACTGTCCAAATTCGCTGATGACACAAAGTTGTGGGGAGAAGTGGGCATACTGGAGAGGAGGGACAGAATCCAACTAGACAGGTTACAGAGGTGGGCGGATGAGAATAGAATGGAATTCAACTCAGACAAGTGCAAGGTGCTGCATCTAGGGAGAAGGAACCTGCAACTTACCTATAGGCTAGGGAAATCCCTTCTCAACAACACAGTGGCTGAAGGGATCTTGGAGTCATTGTTGACTCCAGGATGGACATGAACTACCAATGTGAGGAAGCAGTCAGTAAGGCTAACCGCACCTTGTCGTGCATCTACAGAATAACAGCCACAAATTCATTGAGAGTAGGTTCAGGCTTGATATCAGGAGACATTACTTTATGGTTAGGGCTGCCATGCTCTGGAATGGCCTCCCAAGGGAGGTGGTGTTCTCCCCTACCTTGGGGGTCTTCAAGAGGAGGTTGGACAGATATGATTCCAACACTTGTTCCTGCCCAGGGCAGGGGGTCGGACTTGATGATCTGTTCAGGTCTCTTCCGACCCTAGAAACTATGAAAATATGTCTTCAGGAGACTTGCCTTAGGTTGAAACATCTGGTATCCCTTTCCATTAGCAAAATGATGCAAAAGGATTATAGCCCATTCCTAGATTGGGACAACCTTCTCCATCAACTGAAGCACAATCCCACATGTTCTCCTACTTCGTACAAAGGAATGTTTTTAACCTAAACAATTTAGAATGTTTTGAGGTAACACAGGCTTTAGGGAACAAGGTGACACTACATAGTCTTTGGATATACAAAAAACTGTAACATTTATTTTCAAGTCAGATCTATCTGATCTTTCTTCTTTAGTCCTTACTTGATTTGGGAAAAGTGACAAGACACAATATTAATTGTAGCAATTCTTTTCTGTTGCCTTTGCAGCTTTTCTGTTGCTTATCTATCTATCTATCTATCTATCTATCTATCTATCTATCTATCTATCATATCTTCTAAAAGTATCATATGAAAGATAAAGATTGAAATCTTCCAGCCTTTTTTTCTAGATAGACAAATGCATCTCTAACTCTAATAGCAAAGTTAAGGACATTTTCATATTACTGACAGAGAGTGTGAGACAGACAAACAACAAAGGAAATAAAACATCAGATACAGTAAAATAACCTGTTATAGCATTTTGCCTAAAATTTTTCAGTACTAAGAAAAAAGTGATGGTAGGTAAAACACAAGAGAGACACACACATGTCACTAGTGGGGGGAAAAGGTGGGGAGGAGATAATAGCCAGCATATAATGGACCCATTATATGGGTCCATTATATGCATATTATGCATAAACATAAACACCCATTATGTTTGACTGAGCAAAATAGATGAGAAGCTAATAAATCATTTAGTGTAATTTTTCACTTTGTGACAATTCAGCCTGAATCCCAACTGCAGCTCTCAGTTTTCAGCTGGAACAGTGTTCAATGCTAATGATGAGCATGCAGATATGTAAAACAATAGGAGCTGACATATTGGTCCATCCAGTCCAGTATCCCATCTCTTGTGAGAACTAAAGCACATACTTTATTACCCCTTCCAAAATGTATTAGCGTGGACTGTTATAAATATAGATATTTTTGTTATTCTTAAAAAGGGTTCTATCCCTTTCTGAATCTTGCTAATTCTCCACTTCAATAACACTTCTGTGGCAGTGAATACCATAGTGATAATTATATGTTATGTGAAACAGATAAGCACAGTAACTCTTAATTCTTGAAGGAAACAATAGTCTAGTACTTTGCCTTAGAGATGAGTAGTTTAACATTTTCATGCCCTGGGCAATAGCGTATCCTCTGGGAACTGACTGGGCAGCAGAATTATCCAGGAGAGAGCAAGCTAAAGAATGAAGTGTTGGCAGGGAGATCTGTCCATGTTTCCTGGATACAGTGCTCAATGCAAACTGTACAGGAATGCTCTCAATCTGTTTCTAATTGCATTATAAATTTAATAAATTAAGCAGTGACTTTACTTTCTGTAGTTTATGTAACTGTATGTGTTTGTCCCTTTAGAATCTTCTATGCATGACAGTTGTCCTCATTTTTAAACAATCAAAAATCAGCCTGTTTACAGAATACAGACTAGGGTACTGACTTCGAAATAAAAATACTCATAGTCATTTACATAAAGGGTACCCACAGACTTAGTTTGTTCAGAATTGATATATTTTACCATTTTTTTGGAAACTGCAGCAAGTTTTAGCACTCCATAGCTACTCCATAAACACAGTTTTAAGCAGTACTTTTGTACTGACTTATATGTAGTACAAACCTTTTCTTTAAATAAAATTTTGTTTCTAGAGCCAGATCAATTTTGAATTAAGTTCCAAATTCAATTCTATGTGATACTATCACCAGCAAGTATCCTACCTCCCAGACTCAGCAGTCTGGGGCTTCGGCTACTCCTAAATCCATGGCATGCATGCTACATGCAAACCCAACGCCCAGAAGCTTTGGAGTTCAGATGCCCCCTAATCTTGCTTGGCCCTAGCCAAAAGGCTGAAGGAGCAAGTTATGGGGAAAATCTGAAAGCAATCACCCATTGCCATATAAGGTACAGCCCAAATCGTTGCATTTGGCCTCCATTTGAAGACTCTCACTAGGGTCAGCCTGGCTACAATACAAGAGACAGGCCTTCACCCTTTTCACTACACTTGAGTCATTCAGAGTCAAGAAGAGAGTATCTTTTTATTTTTTTATTTTCTGTATTCCAAGCCAGTTTAGCCAAAACACATTCCAATCCAAGAGTCAGTCCAGAACCATAAGTGGCCCTACTACTGGCAAACATACACCACCATCTGGGGCTTTAGATGTTGCCAAAACCTTTGGCAGGCATCCTTCTCGCAGGCCCAAGCCTGGAGCCTTGGGATTCAGATGCCCCCAAGTTTTGCTTGCCCTCAGCCATAAGGCCTCAGGAGCCAGCCAGGGAAGAGTCTCCCATTTCCATAAAGTGGGCTTAAAGCCATGACTTTCCCACTCCAACAGCTAAGTGGGAGGTTTATACATTCTACGTTAGCTTAGCGGGTACTATTCCCATGCCAGGGGAGCTGTCCTCTCCAGTGCAGCTACAA